TTAGCTTGAGGTTAATATCTAAGTTATAAACCTTAGCTTCTCTTGTATGGTTTGAAAAAAAAAACATACACAACCTTTTAGGTTGATCACTGCCTTGTAATCATGTCCAAAGATTCAAAAGCAACTTTTTTTTTTAAGTACATGTATTCTTTTTGTCATCTAACCATTAGTAATGGCAAGCGTCTGCATCACATCAATTGCTTCAACATACTATCAAAAAGGAAAACAAATAAAAATGTGCAGCATAAACAGAATTCACAAACTCAGGCTCTCTGGACCTATTTTATTGAATTTACCACTGCCAGAACCTAGCAGGAACATATTAAACTCTACTGAGAGCCACCCTTCCCAATCATTTTTGCTGCAGGCAAGGGAATGTTCTTGCACAACAGATTTAGCAAAGAAAGCTGCAACATATCCATCTTTGTCTTTCCAGATACACAAGCCAATTATCATCAAGCAATTAAAAAGAATTTCTCTTGAGAGCAGAATTTAGATTTTCAAATGAGAACCTCTCTTTAAAAATATAATTCTGAACATTGCAATTCTGTTCCACCATCAGCACAACACTTTTCAAGACCATACATTGTATAGCGTTCACATTGGAATACATACAAAACTTGTGATTCAATGTTCATTGCATACAGACATTCTGTCCATTATCTATCTGCTATGCAGAAATATATTGTGAAGCCACATCACCTTACACAGGCTTTTGAATTTATTTTTGAACCAGCATTTTCTGCTTCTTCTAGACATAAGAAATAAAGCCCCAAATGGTGCCTACATACAAGTGAATGCAACTCATAAACAAGGAAGACAAGATGACAAATAAGTGTTAAATTCAGTAAACCCTCAACCATGCCTTTGTTGATCTGACTGAATTATTCCAACGCACTCCTGGCTGGTCTCCCTATTCTTCCCTACATAAACATGACAACATCCGCTGCCAGCATTTTAAGTTAAAGCAAGTCCTATTCATTTTTGCGTTCACTGACCTATGCTGGTTCCCAGTCAAACAGATCTTGATTTGTAAAAGTTTCACTCAATTTTTAAATCCTTCTCTGGCCTTGCACTCTCCCTATCTCTGTAATATCTTCTAGCCTCACACTTCTCAAAGATATTTATGCTCTTCAAATTCTGGCATTTTGTGCATTTCCAATTGTAATCATTCCATCATTTGAAGTTGTGGTCTCAACTGCCTAGACTACAAACTCTGGAATTCTCTTCCTACATCTTTCCGCCTCCTTACCCTGCTTTCTTCACTTAAGACTTTAATTCCTCCATCTTTGACCAAGTTTTTGGTTACCTTTCTTTTGATATGGCTTAGTGTCATACTTTGTTTATTTCCTTAGTCGAAACAACAACTTGAGTTGATATAATGAAAGGTCCTCAGGTGCTTCAGAGCATTATAAAGCAATATCCAACAGTTGATAGAGTGAACCGGTAGAGCTTTCTTATTTCTGGTGTTTCCAAATAACTAGGATAAAGCCAGCAAAGTTTATTTATTGTTATTTCATTTCAGCAACCATAAAACCGAGCTATATTAAAAGGCTTCTCAATAGCTGCATACTCCCTGAAAAATTCCTACTGACATCCTGCCACACATTACCAAACGCACGTCAGTATCCTCCAATGTACTCCAGAAGTAACAGAGCAGAGATCTGTGTGGTGAGTCTCCATCACACTGCTTTGGAACAATGCAAGTTAATAAAAGATGAGCAAAGTACTTACAATGAAAAATACTTAAGTGAACTATCTATACTATGTTGTAAAAATGTGCATTGATCGTATATAATCAAAGGAATCTTTATAAAAATAATTTTTATTTATGTTACAATCAAGCTGCAGCAAACCCAGATTCCTCGGAGGAAGACTTTATATATGTTTCATAAATAAAATCATGTAAATCTCTATTCATATGAATTTATTTTACAACCTATTGCACAATCTGCTTCAAAATAGAATTACAGACGGTTAGAGAAATGGGTAATTTTTTCCAACAATGCTTTGGTGTATTTTCCTAATCTAATGCCCTTGCTTGTTCCTCATTCCCATTAATATGTCTCTGTAATACAATTGTTCAATAGCTATCCACTTACAGGATTTCAGCAATGCTCTATCACACAGAATTCCACATTTCAACTGATCCTCGTGCAAAGACATTCACCTGCATTGTTCTTTTGACTTCAATGGGATTTTTTTTCCTGCAATATCAATATTGGCCGAAGTGGTGTAAAGGATCCCAAAGAATGTTAAGTGCAAATTTGTGCTCAATGCCACTTGAGTTTGCACTGGTTTTAAAAACATTGCCCTGGAAACAGGCTCTGCTCACAAAATTACCCACAAACTCTATGTGAATTAATCATTATTGAACATTTCATTAATTGTACTCATTTCCAGGTCTTGGAGAAAACACCAAGAATTAAACTGGAGCTTTTGGATGCAAGAACACTCTGGGTGCAGTTTGGAAGATTTTGCATGTTACTTTTCAATTTACAAAGGAACTTACTACTTTATCTCAATCTAACCAGAAAATAGTTTTGCATAAATTTTAAAAGACATTTTAATTTAAAATTAGTTTACACATAGGTGGATTTCCACTTAATAATACAAAAATAAGAATTTTAAACCAACCCATTATGTATAAATCAAAAATCATTCTTAAATAGATCAAGGAATATATTTTCATGTATTTTAGAAGATCTGACATTTCAAAACATTTCCCAATTGCACTTCGTTCATCACAGATTACACATTAGACAAAATGCAAAGTAGTGAGGGGGAACCATCTGGGCAAAGGAGTGCTGATCAAAATTGATTAAGACCAACTCCGAGATCCTATGGACCATTTTCCATATCTTGGGAGCTTCCGCTCGACAAGATTCATCATTGCCTTCAGCCTACCAGCTCTGAGTATGAGAACCAAAGTTGTGGTTTACTGGGCACCAGACATTCCCACATTCCTAACTTCTTCAGGGGTTTGGACAACGTATGCTAAACACCTCAAAAGGATTACAGAAATACCATCAGCGGTGTCCTAGCAAGATCTGCCAAATCTGGTAGAAAGAAAACCAACACAATAACAGGGCCCTCTCTCCCATGCTAACTGGCCCAGTATTCAGGTGCTGCAGGAGAGCCACCCTTGAGGATTGAGAAATGATTAAGGGATGTCCTCAAAGCAGCCCCGAAGATGTCAACAAAAGTACAGAAGGCATTTTCAGGAAAGCACCAGCACAGAGAGACTTTGCTCAGAACGTACAAATGCAAAATCAATGCACATTCGGAGCGAGAACATAAACCTTCAAATAGCCCGTCTACCCAAACTCTTCAAAGACCATCTCCCTGCATGAAGCAAGAATAAAGTCTCTAGATCATGCAGTGGATTTATCAGTCATCTTAGAACCTATCAAACCAGTGTAGAAATGGACCACCCTCAGTCCCAAGGGACAATATATGATGAAACTGTTCAGTAAGGTAGACGAAATATTGGTCGTAGTCAAAACCAAAGAAGCCTATAGCACATCATGCACACATGCATTGGTTCTTTGAAAGAGCCATCCAATTATTCACACTGACCTGACCCATTCCCATAACTCTGCAAATAGTTCCTGAAACAGTCTTTAAACCACTACGTCTGCAATTGATCAAAGAAGATGAATGACTTGGCTCCATAAATCATGTAGGATATTTTTAGGTCCAAAAATTGTATCAAATTGGGCAAATTCAACAAAGATGCTGTCAAGTTAAATCAGGATAGAAATTAGATGTTCAACAACCTGAAGGTCTTGGTCACGTGTGGCTTGAAGATGATGTATGCAATAAATTAATTTCAACATAGTGAGATTACAGATATATGAACAATGCTGTCTTTAAATGTTGAAAGACGAACATCCAATGCATCACTGCAGATAACAGGACTCAAAGTCAAGGCTATAGACAACAAGCCAATAGGACTGGGAACTGTCAGGAGTTATTTCTTGTGTGTAGGAGCATTCTACAGCAAATGTCACGCTTCAGTCACCTCCAGGTTATTATTTGTTTGTGTTAATTTTCAAGCCAATGCATTTGGTGGTCATGCTCTTATAGCATATTCATGACACACAACATCCTTCTAAAATGTCAACCATGATGTGCAGAGTGCTGACCAATAAGGCATATTTATCATTGTTAAATGCTCACTACCAAATTACTCTCTTTTTGCCAGATAAAGGTGGGCATTGTTCACAACTGATTGTTCACTAATACTGATTCTTAGTGTAAATCCATTAAGTTACAGCACTGTCTATTGTTATTGCATACTGCTGGTTTACAAAAGCAAATTACAAAGATTTACGCAAGAATATAATTAGCTAGGTTATATTAAATTTAGATATACTTGAATAGTGCTTGGATAAAATCTGTTTGCTTCCCTTCATATAATTTGATACAGCTTGTAAAAAGTGATAAGCAATGGAATTATACACTTACATACACACTGATCACATTATAATCTCAACTGTTTGCCAAGGATTCGTTTCAAAATGACGATTTCCCCCTGACCTAGCAGCTCTCTCTTCACTGTAGACACCTGAAAATATTGCAATCTGCTGCTGAATTTCAAGATGTAGTGAGCTCCTCTGCGAGACATTTAAATTTTGAGTTCACAGCGGATCCAGTATTTGAGACGAAGCAGCCCAAAAGGTTTATAAAAGGAGGAAATACCAGTAAAGTGGATTACTGAAGGCTCAGGAATATAACCTTGGGAAGCTTCTTTTAAGACAAGAAACATAATAAGAAAAATCAATACAGAAAAGAAGACCTAATTCAGCATCATTGCAGGTTTGAAGGTTATCAGCAAGGGTTTAAAGAATGGGGGTGGTGTAAATTTGATTTTTATTTGACAGGATAGTGGCCTATGCCCGACTCAGTCAGGCCGGACAGGGGGAGGATGCAGAGAATGGCAATTAAAAACATGTTCTTTTTGACAAGAAAAAGAAAACACCACAAGATCTTCTTACCTGCCTCTTAGATTTAGAATGAAGAGGAAGGGGTCAATAGAAGAGACTGCATGGGCATCAAGTTAAAAGAAATGCAGCGCCCTTCGGCGAGAGTTTCCCATCTTCCAAGCGAGCAAACTCTGCTCTGGCTCCAGCTCCTTGACACCGCGACCGAGCCCGAGCCCGAGCCGCACTTCCGCAAGCGCTTCGGGAACGTTCGGAAACGCTCGGGCGAAGGGCGAGCGCAGATCGGAGCGAGTCGGGACGACTCGTTCGGCGGGCGAACAGGGATCGGAGGGATTCGGGAAGACGCAGGCCGCGGGCGTGCGGGGATCGGAGAAAATCGGGCGGCGGGCGTGCTGGGATCGGAGAATCTCGGAGAGACTCGGGCGGCGGGCAAGCGTGGATCGGAGAGATTCGGGGTGAGGGATTCGCGAAGGGGGGCAATCCGGAGAAAGGGGCCGACTGGACACGTTGGGCGTATTCGGGTGTGACAGAAAGGTCCGGGGAGTGGGAGGAAATTTTGCAATAAATATGATTTGCTGGATATAAGAAAATATGAAGGTGTAAATTGAAGAAAGGAACAGCAAATCTCAAATTTCCAGCAACATCAATATTTTGTTTTTCGAAGAAGACAGTTGTGTAGAGGGACGGAATAAAATCACTGGATAGGAGATAAGGGAGGTGGTACTGTGCATCAAGATAGCTTATTAAAGCAACATTAAACACTTAAGAATCATGCAAGGAATGATATAATTATATAAGGAATATGTTCATAGATGAAATACATCAGGTTGAATTACAAGAAATATTTGCTTCTGCTACAAATAGGTGAGACTACAAAGCCCATTGCTGCTGCATGTAATGATACTATAGCTTTAAGAGATGCATTTTGTCGTTTTTTTTAATGAAGAAAGGTTGAGACAGAGGCGCCCAGGATCTGATCCAAGCCAAAAAAGTAAACGGCTTGTGACGCCTTGGTTTTTAGGTTAGAGCAATAGAAACAGCATGAAGGGATGGGGTCAAGCTCCCACAGAACCAGGATTTTAGTTTAACTTTCAGCAGTTGCTGGGGTCTCGAAGTTCATATACAGAAGCTGTCATTCCTCTCTCTGTTACAGCTAAAAGTTCAGGTTCTGTTCCTGCTGCTAGAATTGCATGTGAATTAATGTTTCACTGAATTTGCCTTTGCCAAGTGTGTTTATAGGATACTGCTGTATTTGGAACAGTTACTGTTTAGTAGTTAAGTAATCTATTATTCTGTTAAGTTTTCCAATACAGTTATTCAAATTTTTTTATTTTATTTGTTTTTTAACTATAGTGTAAGAATAAAATGTGTTTTGCTCCAAGCCTAGTAATTTGACTACTCAGATTGCAAACAGAACACAACGCCTTACACTGCCTTTAAAAAAATAAGACGACATTGGGGTGTAGGCAATTTTCTTAATATGTTTTGAAGGCTTTGATCTGGTCCATAAAAGATATCAGTGCAGTACTGAGGGAGTTCTGCATTATCGCTTTTCAGAGACAGGAGATGACCAAGTCAACTGTCATCTTTCAACCAATATCATCAGAGAAACATAGGAACATGAGTACGTCATTCAGCCATTGAGCCAACTATTCAATTAGATCATGACTGATAGGAGACAGTAAGGACTGCTGATGCTGGAAACCAGAGTCAGTAAACTTGGAGCTGGACAAACACAGCAGGTCAGACAGCATCTGAGGGGGAGGAAAGTCAATGTTTCGAGCTGAAACCCTTCATCAGGACTGGAGATGGGGAGGGGGAGGGAAGCCTAGAAATAAATAGTGGGGTGTGGCTGGGGCAAGATAGGTGGGATGGTGTTGGGTGGACCCAGGTAAGAGGTTGTAGTGATTGGTTAGTGGGATAGGTGAGTAGGTTAGGTCAGGTCAGGGAGGTGAGACATGGGATAAGACTGGGGGTGGAGGGATTTTGAAGCTGATGAAGTCCCCTCAACAACTTTTCCTTTGGTTCCTGCCACTACTTACAAACCAAAGGGGTGGCGATGGGCACCCGCATGGGCCCAAGCGATGCCTGCCTCTTTGTAGGACTTGTGGAACAGTCCCTCTTCAATAACAACACTGGCACCATCTCTCACTTAATTCTGCATTATATTGATGACTGTATCGGTACTATCTCATGATCTCGCGAGGTATTTGAGCAGTTCATCGACTTCACTAACACCTTCCACCCTACCCTCAAATTCATCTGGACCATTTCTGACACCTCCCTCCCCTTCCTGGACCTCTCCGTCTCCATCTCTGGAAACCGACTCACCACTGACATCCATTTCAAACTCACTGACCCCCACAACTACACCTCCTCTCACCCATCATCCTGCAAAAATGCTATCCCATACTCTCAATTCCTCCGCCTCTGCTGCATCTGTTCACAGGAAGACGCGGTCTCCTCCAGGACATCCCAGATATCCTCCTACTTTAGAGACAGTTGTTTCCCCATCTTTGAAATCAAGGATGCCCTCAACCATATCTCCCCCATTTCCTGCTTTTCTGCCCCCAACAACAATAAAGATAGATATTCCCTAGTCCTCACGTAACACCCCACCAACATCTGAATCCAACATATCATCCTCCACCATCTACAATCAGACCCCACCACCAGAAAGATATTTCCTTCCCCACCCCTGTCCGTTTTCCACAGGGACCATTCACTTTGCGACTCCCTCTACACTCTCCACCACACCCGGTACCTTTCCCTACAACTGCAAGAGGTTCAACACCTGACCCCACACCTTCCCTCTTACCTCTGTCCAAGGCCCAAAACAATCCTTCCAGGTCCAGCAGAGATCCGCCTGCAACTCATCCAACCTGATTTATTATATCCATTACTCCTGATGTGGTCTCCCCTGTATTGGGGAAACCAGACGCAGACTTTGGGACTGGTTCTCAGAGCATCTGTGCTCTGCATGCATCAACCAACCCAATTTTCCGGTTGCCATCCATTTTAATTCCCCCTCCCAGTCCCCTGGTGACATGTCCATCCTTGGCCTCCTCCACTGTCAGAGTGAGGCCAAACGTAAACTGGAGGAACAATACCTGGTATTTCACCTTGGGAGCTTACAGTCCAAGGGCCTGGATATTGACTTCACCAGCTACAAAATCCCTCCACGCCCCTGTCCTGCCTCCCTGACCTGACCTAACCTGTCCATCATCTTACTCACCTATCCTTTCCACTCTTCCCGCTGACTAATCATTGTAACCCCTTACCTGCATCCACCTATCTCCATCTCACCTACTTTTCCCCAGCCCCACCCCACTACCTCTATTTATTTCTGGGCCCCCCTCCTCCTCCCCAGTCCTAACGAAGTGTTTCAGCTCGAAACATTGCCTTTCCTGCCCCTGTAATGCTTTCTGACCTGTAGTTTGTCCAGTTCTGCATTTATTGACTTTAGATCATGACTGATCATCTACCCTAATGCCACTTTCTCACACAATTTCATTTTCCTTTATGACATTAGTTCCAGAAATCTACCAACTCTGTCCTGAATATGCTCAACTCAGCTTCAAAACCTTCTGGCATACACTATTCCAAAGATTCACTACCCTTTGAATAAAGAAATTTCTCCCCATCTCAGCCTTAAATAGCTTGCCACATTTTCTGTGATGTCCCCTAATTCTAAACACACCAGCTGGGGAAAACATCTTTATCCACCTTGTTATACCCTGGATGAATGTAATAAGCAATCCATGACCACAGCAGCAAGTCCTGGACAATATGTAAGCCTGGCCCGAAAGTGTCAAGAAACATTTGTTCTACACAAATGCTAGGCCATGGACATTCCCAATAAAAGACACCCTATCCAAAGCTCCATCAATGGAGTTACCATAATTGAATCCCCCATTTTCATCATTCTGGGGATTTTCATTGACTAGGAACTGATCTGGACTAGCCCTTTAAATACTGTGATTACAAGAACAGGGCAGAGGCTAGGAATCCTGCAGCGAGCAACTCACCTTCTGACAATCCAAAGCATGTCCATGTCCACCCTCTACAAAGTACAAGTTGGCACTGTGATGAAATATTCCCCATTTGCCTGGATGAGTGCAGGTCTGACAACACTCAAGAACCTTGACACCATCCAGGACAAAACTGCCAGCTTGATTGGCACTACATCCATTCCCTCCAACACTGAAGCTCAGCAACAACAGTGTGTACCGTCTACAAGATGCATTGCAGAGATACATCAAAGCTGTTTAGACATCACCTTGCATCTTGTGACCACTTCCGTCTTGAAAGATAGTACAGCAAATACATGGGAATACCACCACCTGCACTTCTCCTCTAAGTAGTCACCATCCTGACTTGGAAGTATGTTGCCATTCCTTCGATGTCATTGCAGCAAAATCCTGGAATTCCCTCCTTAAAGGCATTGTGAATCTACCTACATCGACTGCAGCAGTTCTAGAAGGCAGTTCACCACCACCTTCTGAAGGGCAACTAGGGATGGGCAATAAATGCTGCTCCAGCCAGTGACACCCGTATCCCATAAGTGAATAAAAAAAAGTTTCAATGAGACCACCTCTCATTTTGTGAAAACCTACAGCACATTGGCCCAATTTTATCATCAGAAAAAGTCCCACCAACCATTCTAGGGTCTAGTTTGTTTAATTCTCTGTTGCATTCCATCTAAGGCAATTATATCTTTCCTTAGATATTGATGTCCAAAATGGTACATGATACTCAGGTGCAATATTGCCAAGCCTCAATACATTTGCAGCAAAACATCTTTATTCAAAACCCTAAATTGCTGGAGAAACTCACGAAGCCTGGCAGCATCTGTGGAGAGAAAGCAGAGTTAACATTCCAGGTACAGTGACCCTTCTTCAGAAACACATCTTTATTTCTGTACTCCTATCCCTTTGAGATGAAGACTTCATTGGCGTTTGCACCTGCATGGTAGCTTTCAGTGACTCATGAACGAGGACACCTAGGTCCCTTTAAGCAAAAAAACTTCCCAATCTTTCATCAGTTTAGAAATATTCTGTCGATTTTTTCTGTACCAAAGTAGATAACTTAACATTTATTCACATTGTTTCCCATCTGTCATGTTCTTTGCTATTCACATAGTCTACAAAATTGCTTGAAGCCTCCTTTGCTTTTTCCTCACAACTTCCATTCCCAACTAGTTTTGTGTTATCAGCAAATTTGG